CTGGGGACGGCAGAGCATCCTCTCCCAGGCTGAGGACGGCAGAGCACCCTCTCCCAGGCTGGGGACGGCAGAGCATCCTCTCCCAGGCTGGGGACAGCAGAGCATCCTCTCCCAGGCTGGGGACGGCAGAGCATCCTCTCCCAGGCTGGGGACGGACAGCAGAGCACCCTCTCCCAGGCTGAGGATGGACGGCAGAGCATCCTCTCCCAGGCTGGGGATGGCAGAGCATCCTCTCCCAGGCTGGGGACGGACGGCAGAGCACCCTCTCCCAGGCTGGGGACGGCAGAGCACCCTCTCCCAGGCTGGGGACGGACGGCAGAGCATCCTCTCCCAGGCTGGGGACGGACGGCAGAGCACCCTCTCCCAGGCTGGGGATGGCAGAGCATCCTCTCCCAGGCTGGGGACGGCAGAGCATCTTCTCCCAGGCTGGGGACGGCAGAGCACCCTCTCCCAGGCTGGGGACGGACGGCAGAGCACCCTCTCCCAGGCTGGGGACGGACGGCAGAGCACCCTCTCCCAGGCTGCCTCGGGACCAGGTGCTTCCATGGGCTCATTCTCCACCCAGACTCCCGGCAGGGTCACACAGGGTCATGGAGGGGCAGGAGCACTCTCTGGAAGCTATGTCCAGGAGCATCCCAGCTGCCCTGCTGCTCACTTACCCTGCGGTTGATGGCAGAGGACAGCCGGAAGAGTGCTCGGACCAGACTGGTGATTTCATAGCTCCGGATGGGCTGCAGCTCTAAGTCCCCCTGATACTCAATTTCAAACCTTCGCAGACCGTTAATGATCTAGAAACCCAGGCAGTGGGAAAAAGTTTCAAAAATACATCTTTGCGAACAACACAGGCAAGGGCAGTCATGTGACCCTTGTGCCCCTTGTGACAGGGCTGGCATCAGCGCGGCAGTGGCCGTTAGCAACCTACCTGGTAGCGGCCCAGAGGTGTAAGGATGAGTCCTTCCTCCCCCACAATGCAGTCTGGTAGCTGCTGCTTCCCATTCTCATCCCGTGTGTTCCCCAGGGCAAGTGTGAGCTGGGCCAGCTGGGCTTCACTTAGCTACGAGAGAAGAGCTCTGCTCAGGGGGTGTCGAAGGGAAGGGGGGCACTGCACCCCACTGGTGAGTGAGGCCCTAAGAGAGGGAACTGTGCAGCACATACCCGGAATATCTGGCGCAGGTACTCCAGGGCCTTCTCCAGGTACTCATCCGTCTTGCGGACACTGTCCTGACCCATCTCATCCAGGTCATTGCCCGGGTAGCAGCTGTTTGGGTCTGTGGCGCCGAAGCCCAGCCATGACAGGAAGGAACGGCTAGCTGGACTCTCCGCACACTGGTCAGAGATGGACTTGGCAGTCTGTTTGGCCTGTGTGATGAGCTGAGCAAGGCTCAAGACCTGCGAGGGAGGCACAGACATGGCAAAGGGACTCAAGGGGCCACCAAAGGAGGCGTCACCACCACTCAGGCAGGGTGGCCTCGGGGAACCAGCTCTAGCAAGAGTGCTCACCCAGAGGGAAAAATGGAATCTTATCATTTTCCTCATTATGAGAAAACACTAGCCGTTACTGGAGAGAGGAGGGCTTGGGGCATCAGTACCCAGCCTTCCTTTCTTCCCATTGCTTCAGGGACCTCACACTAGGGTGGGCCTTTGGCCACTCACCAGGGTCCGGACTTCAGGACCAAACATTGGGGTGTATTTGCAGTCCTGGCCCTCCAGGCTGTAGACATGGCTCTTCACCTTGAATGAGGCATCTGTCACAACTGGGGGCCATGGTGACAGGAAGCTGCTGGTGACCGTGAAAAGCCGATGTTGGCGATGGGGAATGATGAGCTCTGGCTCCAGGAACAGCTGCTCTCCTAGAACGCAAGCCGGGGCTGGCACCTGCTTCCCGGAGCTCCGGGTAGGATTCCAGCCCGTTTCCCAGGACCCTGAGGAGCTGTGACAATACTGCACCTCCCAGCCTACCCGAGCACTGTCTCACCCAGCTCCAAGCACTAGGACAGCAACAGCAGCTCTGAGAGTCGCAGCTCGGAGCTCTGCTGCCCATCTCTGAGCTCAGGCCAGCGTTACCTGGCTGCCGGCACCAGGAACGGGACATCCAGCCGAGCTCAGAGCTCTTACTCCACTTCTGATGCGTCTCAAAGGTTCCCAAGCCAGCCTGCCCCACGCCACAGTGCGAGTCCGTGAGTCACGCAGTACCCTGCATCCCTCCGCGCTGCCTCTCAGCAGCCAAGGTCCTATCTCGGTGGGGCGGCCCAGGGCCGGAGACTCACCTTTCTGGATCATCTCGGTCAGGTTGGGCTGAGCGAAGACCTTGGCCACTCGGAAAACCATGAGGGCATTCTTGGGGCTGACCAGGTCCGTGCGGAGCGCACGGTTCAGGAAGCTCACAAACAGCTTGGTGTACATCAGCAGGTTCTCCTGGATGAAGGGTGCCCTGGAGACAACGGCAGGATGGGCCAGTCAGAGGAAGACTACGCTGCAGACCTCGTGCTGGAGACAGAGCCACACTGGTCCTCACTCCAGACAGCTCACCCTTCCTGACACCCCAGCCGCTGCTGCCAGACGAGGGAGTCACGGACATTAGGCAGGAGAGGGTGCAACACCCCAGTCCTCCGGAATGACCCTTCTCAAGAGAGCCATGGGCACCACAGCAAGGACTGCTTGAACAGATGTGAAGGGCAAGACTGGGACCCAGGAGAGGAAAGGCCACAGCAACCCCAACACCACACGGACAAGGTAATGGAGACACAATAGTTGCTCTGTGCTGGTAAGGGTGAAATGGGGACCTTTGGGATGACCATGGAGCCACCTCGATCAGCACCTGTCTGTCCAGACAGCTTCGGCTCGAGGGCAGTAGTGTCACTGGGCAGGTGGCCTGGGGGTGCTCACCATTTCTCCGACACACACCGCGGCTGGGAATCACTGCTCTGCACCTGCTTCTCGGGGGCATACCTCCACGGCTGCAGGTAGCTCAGCCACATCTCCAGGACCTGGTGAGGGACACATGTGCCCTGAAGGCCTGTGGTTGTAGGTCAGTGCACTGGCTTTCAGGCACATCCTTTGATGGTCTGGACCCGGCTCCAAGGATAATTCATGAAAAGATCTATGTCCTAGTTACTGGGCTAATGCCCTGCTAGGCTCTAGACTTTTCCCCAACTTCAAGGTAGAAGTCAGTAAGTGGGCAGCTCTTCTTACATCCTCCCAAGAACACACTACAGGAACTCAAGAATCTCATGCCAGCCCCTTAGGGAGGGTCGTGGGGGCTGAGCATGGCTCTTCTGTACCCAAGAGCCAACAGAATGACAAGACTCAGCAAGGCTTCCTTCCTCTCTGAGGCCTGTGACCAGGCTCCTGTCAGCCCACCCCACAGGCACCAACGTCACGGCACAGAGGGCACCGGGAGGGGGAGGGCAAGGGGCAAGGGGCAGTGCTTACGGCTCTGAAGGAGGCGTCCAGAGGCCAGTGACCAAAACAGTGCTGCAGGAAGACATACAACTTCTGCTGGACAAACCGCGGCACAGCAGCCCTGTGGGGACGGAGGGTCAGGAGCGGTCACTTGCCCAGGGGGTGTGCCCGCTCACAGGGGCCAGCCCTGGCCTGTGGGTACACTCGGGGAACACTGAGAACATTGAGGTAAGATGTTTCTAGCCCTGTTCTCCAGAAGAACCCAGGGTTCCTTTGAAGTCAGCCTGCCTGCTGACTGAGGTAAGTTGTAAGACAGAACAGCAAGGCTGTGATCCCTGGCCAGCCAGCTTTTCTCACTGCACAGGGAGCATCCAGAGTAGTGGTTCTCAACCTGTTGTGGATCACGACCCCTTTAGGGTCACATATCAGATATTTACATTATGATTCATAACAGCAGCAAAATTACAGTTATGAAGTAACAACAAATAATCTGATGGTTGGGGTGGGCACAGCACGCGGAACTGTATTAACAGGTCGCAGCATTACAAGGTTGAGACCTCTGGTCTAGATAGAGGGAAGGCATTGGGAGCAGAAGCAGCCAGGCAGCCCCGGCCTTCTGGTCTCAAACAGGCCAACAGTAGACATAAATAAGGGAAACAGAGGCCTAGGAGCCTTCCACATCTACACTCACCGCTTGAACTCCTCCAGGGGGCTGGTGGCATGGGAGTGTGTCGACGGGGAGGCCTGGTCCGGCTTCAGGCTGTTGGCAAAGGCGTGCAGGTGCTTCAGCAGCAGGCGGACCACCAGCACGTGCTCCTCAGTGGGCGTGAAGGACTCCTAGGGAGGGCAGGGGTGTCAAGGCCAGACAGACCTACAGCCAGACCCACAGCCGAGACCCACAGCACCTACTGCTCACGGTCTGCAGCCCACAGGAGACAAGCACCAGGCCGGCCGGGCGGGTCACCTGGCACTGCTGGACCTGACTGGCACCAGCTCCCAGCACTGAGGCAGGCAGGTGGCCCTGTGCGGCCCTGCGTGGGCTGGTGGAGCAGACGTCAATCAGAGAGCACCTCACTCTCCACCTCGGCAACATCCGGCCCTGCACCCTCAGCCCCTGCAGCAGTGCTGGGCCTCAGCCCTGCCTCCTGCTGAGCTAGAGGGCGGAACAGGGTGGCCACTAGCCCGCCCAGGCTTCGGACCCCAGGTTGTCTGGCCACCTCCCAACATGTGCAAAAAGCTCACCTTGCTCAAGGGAGAGTGTTTCTTTTCTCCCCAGTTCCTTCTCCAGCCACAAGCCCAGGCCCACCCTGGCTGCCTGTCGCAGTCACAGCCAGATGGGGACTTGACCCTGGAGGAAGCCTGGGAGTCACCACTGCCAGTAGACCTGTAGTCAGCTGAAGCCCCCAGGACCAGAGTTCCCAAGCTTGTGAGGGAGCTTTATACACAACACTAACAGAAATCTTTGTAACGGGACCTTTGATTGGCTCTCAGCCTCTCTGAGTGTAGGTGGTGCTTGTGGGAGGCAGGAGTGAGTCCAGTCAGGCAGACTCGTCCTCCCCAGCACCCCTTGGGCTTTGATGACTTGTGGGGTTAAGGCGGGCAAAGGGCGCGGCCCTGTGCACACACGAGCCCAGGAGACCATGCACAGGCTGTGTACAGCACTGTCTCCTCAGGCCTCCCACCATGAAAACGCCTCCTGAGGAGCTGGGCACGGTGGCATGCACCTACCATCCCAGCCTCTGGGACTGTTGTAAGGACATCAGAGCCTACACAGCAGGCCAGCCAGGGCCACACAACTGAACTGCCTCAAAAATAAAGAACAGGAAGAAAAGGGAGAAAAGGCCCCACACCCAGGTCACACCGCACTGCTAGGAGGAGGGCTGCTCTCTCCTGCTCACCTAGAACTCCGAGGAAGAGCACACGACAGTCTACACCCTCTGAAACAGCGGCTCTAACCTAATTCCCACTCGGCAGTGTGAAGAGGTGGGGCCTGGGGATCTTGAAGATCACCACCCATCAGGGCTGAGCCGGAGGGGTCATCTCCAGAGGGTGCCATAAAGACAGCCTGGCCTCCTGGGGGCTGAACCCAGGCCTCGAGCAGGTTTGCAAGATCTCAGCCACTGCGCTGCACCACCAGCCCTGGGCTTTTCCAGACAGTCACATCATGTGGCTCAGACTGGCCTCAAAGTGGCAATCTGCCCGCCTCCTCCTCACAAGTGCTGATCTAGCTTGGTCTAGACAACACTTCTTGTCTCCTGCCATGAAGTCGGCCAGCTCTAAAGCCATCATCAGATGCACCCCTCTGCCACTCTGGACCAGCACTGAGTAACAAAAGCCCTTTTTGTCTTTATATTGACTAGTCTGTGAGACTGCTAACAACAGAAAATGAACTGGAACATACACAGTCGCATGGACTAATCAACAGTAACGGCCGTTAGGTCAGGCCATAGTTCCCACTCTTATGCCCTCTACACACAGCTCCTCTCCTGGCACCCTGAGCAGTGACGTCAGCTCAGTCCCTCAGCTTAGAGAGCAAGCACCACCTCATCTTACCCAGCTTCTTACGGAGGTTCTAGATGACCAGCCCTGGGCACCCTTCCCAGTCAATCTCCCCACCTCTCATGGGGCTGGGGGGGGGGTTCACATGCTAGGGGGCATCACAGGTGTCCCCAGTGCCATCTGCACTTTCTAATGACACAAGCATGTGCTCCCAAAGCCCAGGGCATCTCCCACTGTGCCCGGCCTCCTCGGGCTCATCTTCACAGCTCCTGCTATGGGCTCTTCCCTGGAAACCCCTTCACTGCCTCCCATGGGAGCTCCTCACTAGCTGCTGCTTCTGGGCAGGAACCCCACTGTGAGAAGCATTTATTATCCTATGCCAGCAACACTTAGTAGCCAAGCCTGGTTTTTGCACCTTTGCTCAAATTCAATGTCAACTGTTATGCTTTTCCCCGGGGTACATCACACAGCCCTGTTTGGGAGTACATCTCCACATTCCCACGGTTTCTCACTAATCAGCCAACTCCATTCCCCCAAATCCCTGAGGTCGGAACTTCACTCTACTGACCTCAGATCCGTTCACACACTGGTCATTTCTGCCTAAGCAGGCGGCAATCTCCACGAGGTCACCACTTGCTGGCATTTGCCTCTGAGTCTGTAAGGGGCTGGGACTCAACAGGACTGACAGCCCTCAGGGCTCTGGGGGCCCCAAGCTCTTCCTACTCTCTTGTGATGCAGCTGCATCCTTCCCGCTGGGTAACAACTCGGAACAGGGCAGGAGCCACATTACACCCGAGTCCTCTGCATAGTAAATCAGACCACTGTAAGGATCCCCACAAATCCTGAGAGGTTGAGACAGCTCTGCAGCCTAGGGGCTTAGGAGGAAGATTCCATAATCTATGGCCGGCCAGGCTGTGTGACTCACATAGCCACATGGCCACACACCAAAACCAGGCTAGCCTGCAGACCTGAAGTCAAGCTGAAGCCTCAATCAGGCGTGCCTCTAACACATGGGTGTCATTTTGCTCAGGACTCCCCCTTAAGGACCACAGCAGACTTCTGGGAGACCCTTACTGTGGTGGCACTGTACCAACACACACTCTTGCGCCCACCTTGGGGCAGGGGGAGGGAAGGAAAGGCCAGTACTTGATAGGCGTGGAGGGCCTGGAGGCCGGGTTGGGCAGGGCTGTGGAGGGCGCTGGAGACATTGAGTCGGTAGTGTAGAACCTCCAACTGAGAGACAACAAACAGAAAGGCCAAGAAGAGGCAGATTGGAGGACACAGGGTGGGGGAGGGAGGGCAGGAGAGGACAGGGGGAGGGAGATGGGGAGAGAGAAAACATGAGGAGCCCAGGAGAAAGAACAAAGGAGAAAAAACAAAAAACAAGAACAAAAGTTCATCAGTGGCAATACCCAACCAACTGCCCAGCAGCCCTGGGTCTCCCACAGGCAAGCCCCAGCTGAGATAGATGAATCCTCAAGATCCCCTACACAGCTGTCTGTCAGCCCTCGCGAGATCCCCTACACAGCTGTCAGCCCTCATGAGATCACCAGGAAGTCTTGGACCACTGGGGCTGCAGGCCTCAGCAGCTCTGAGGTCTGCCCAGCTGTTTTTCCAGATGTGTAACTCTGCTCCACTGACCCTACGATGACAACAGGTGGTTATAGATATGATAACAGTGCACTTAACAGCCCAGGACCTCACTGTCACCGGGACATGCTGCTGCTACCAAGGCCTAGCAAGGTGAGGCTCAGAAAAGAAACCTCTGAGCCAGGCACAGAAGGACGTGGGGGTGGGCTGTACACCTGGCCTTCTATATATATATATGGACTCCACATGGACCTGACCAACCCAATTTACGGTATTTTAGAAAGGCAGCTCTCTGAAATGTGTACATGAGGTATTCTAAGTATTCTGTTTTGAGACACTGCAGCCCATGTGGGCCTGGACCTTGCAATTCCTCTGCCTCGGCCTCTGGAGTGCCAGGATTACAGGCACGTGTAGGGAAAACCTTAGAGCAGGACAGGTCAGTTCTGTGCAAGAGCATTTTATACAAGGGAATTAATGATGCACAGAGAGATCTGGGAATCCCGAGGAGTAGGCCCTGAGGCCGTCCCTCAGCACTGATTGAGGAAGCACTGAGGCCTTCCATGGGCTGACTTGATGAGAAGTGACAGAGACCTTGCCTAGCATGTGTGAGGCCCTAGACTCAACCCCCAGTACCAGGAGAAGGGGAGAGGGAATCTGTTGACCAAATCAGTAGACAAGGATGGAACAGAACCGATTCGCATACGTCTAAGTCCCACAAATACCCTCCATTCATTCATGTTCTCTCCAGTCTACGCAGAAGGGCCTGGGCTCAGTCCACCAGGTTGCTCTGTCCCTACACTGGAAACTACTGAAGGAGGGGCGCTTCCTAGCTCCAGCTGGGGAGACTGACTCTTCTACTTCTTGTCTCTCAGCACAGGGCGCTCCCAAGGGGACGAACCCCCAAGAGCCTGACAGTCACATCCCCCAGAGGCTAGGGCAGCCCAGGACAGCAGAGGGAACAAACAGCCAAGCCAGCGAGCCCCCGGCCTCACCCAAGCACCCTCCACCCTAGCTCCCTGCAGCACCACCGCCTGTGAAAGCAACTCCTTCATCAACGCACACCCAATGCCAGCACACTCGTGCCCCACCGAGGCCAGGCCCTACCAGCATGGCCGCCAACTGCACGAGAGGAAAGGATGGCCTGCCAGACACCGGGGAGCCTCCAGTGAGGGGAGCCAAGGCCTTCCTCACAGGCTTCCTCTGTGCCAGACCCAGGCTCCCTGCAGTACTCCCAGAGGAACCCCACAGGGCCGGTCCCCTGCAGGCCACAGCCAGCACTGATCCCAGGCTCAGGGAGTGAACATGTACTCTGGACCCAGTCTGACCAGAGTGGGATCTCAGGGGCCAAATGTTCTGCATGAGGCAGTCAGGGCTTGGTGGGATGGAAAGGATTTCTGGAAGGTGTGGTACAGGCCCCCGGAAGAGGACGGCGCTGTGGAGGAGAGCAACTTCTGGAGCTGTCTTTCCTGGTTTCCAGCCACTGGACCTCTGGGTTCTGTTGTCTCAGTCAGCCAGGGAGCGCCAACCTTCCACACACAGATCACCCACCCAAGGTCTGGCCAAGAGGAAGCTATGTGGGGACAGGAAGGAAGCCCTCTCTCACAGAGACAACCCGCTGACCCTTCCCTCTGAGCACGGAAGACAGACCCATCAGAGGGGACAACCCAGAAGGGCCTTTCTGGTTGGCTCTTGAGGGCAGGTGTGGCTTCCACTCACTGGAAAGACAGCGGAGGACAGGAAGACAAGCAGCAAAGTCAGCCTGTCTCAGCCAGGTCGAGCTACATGGACAAGGCTGAGCCAGCTCGGGCCTGGGAGCCTGGAGAAGCCCAGTGCCAGCCTTCTGTGTGCTAGCCTAGAGCATGAGCAGGTCTGGCTGGAAGCAGGAAGGCGTCACAGGCTCTCTGTGGTGCCCACGGCCCAGGAGGAGTCCTCAGCCTTTCCCTGCCTTCCTTCTCCATCGTGATGCTATAAATGGACATCTGGGGGCTCTGCACTTTGAGAAGTGAAGAGTCTCCACCTTATCACAGCACAATGTTGGAGTCACAGAACTGGCTACAGGGACGCTGTGGTAGCAGTGTCCAGGGCTCACTACTGAGTTACAGGACAAACTTCTCAATGTGAATACCATCATCCATGCACTCTTCATTCTAAAGGAAGTGCTGGAGAGTTCACCTGGCAACGACAAGATCAGTCTACAGAGGAAGGAATTACAAGCAGCAGCGTGTGTTTGTTGGTGCTGTGTGTGTGTGTGTGTGTGTGTGTGTGTTGGTGCTATTTGTGTGTGTGTGTTGGTGCTATGTGTGTGTTGGTGCTGTGTGTGTGTGTTTGTGTGTTGGTGTGTGTGTGTTTGTGTGTTGGTGTGTGTGTGTGTGTGTGTGTGTTTGTGTGTGTCTGTTTGTGTGTGTGTGTTGGTGTGTGTGTGTTGGTGTGTGTGTGTTGGTGTGTGTGTGTGTGTGTGTGTGTGTGTGTGTTGGTGCTGTGTGTGTGTGTGTGAGACTCTGATCTACAAGACCCACCAGGCCACTCACTCACTGAACACAACTGTCTACTCTGACCAGTCCACTGGAGTACCTGCCCAAGGGACACCACCACCAGGAGGTTCCAGGGACTCTACCACCTCTACTCTCTCCGCAAATGCGTGTGCTACCCAGGGAGAAGGCAAGGGGAAGGCTGAGGAAGAGGAGAGGAGGAAGCAGCAGGCTGGGCCACATGCAGGAGGGTTCCAGAGCCCACACATCACAAATGGCTGCTTGCTGATGCTCTGCAGATCAGAGCAGCAGGCAGGCAGAAGAGGTCTAAGGTCACCACAGCACGGAGGGCCTGCTCAGGCCACCTGAGAGTATCAGGGCACTGCCAACGGCTGCAGAAAAACTGGACATGAACCCCAAATGGACCTAGAGATTTCTCTGTCCCAGAAGACCTGAGGCGTTCCCAGTGGTGGGAAGGGGCTGTGGAGAGGACAGACTCGGGCTCAAAGGTCACCTCGTTCGTACAGTAGCCGAGTGAAGGGTCAAAAATGGGCTTCTGTTCCCCTCCATCAAAGCTGGGACAAGGAACTCATGCTGAGGACAAGACACAGCAGGCTGGCAAGAGCAGGAGACAGGAGATGGATTAATAACCACAGAAACATACCTTGGCATGCGGGGACTGCATTTTTTGGTACATCTCCAAGGAATAATGATGAAGCCACATTTCAACAAAAACCTGCAAAAAAGGACATTAACTGATCAAATTGTCAACACTACAGCATTAATGGTGAAGAAATCTTTCCAACAAATGCTGCTGGAAACAGGCTGCCCACGCGTCAAAGAAGCAAGCTGCGAAGAACCCGATCCACACACAAGAATGAATGCAAAGAGAAGGCTGGTCTACGTACAAAAGCCAAACCATGAAACTCAGAAGGAAACACAGGGGCAGCTTTGGCCATAGCTTCTTTGAAGTGACACCAAAATTAAAAAAAAAAAGAAAGAAAAAGACAACAGGAGTGTTACCAAAAACAGAGCTTTTGTGCAACAAAGACACTTTTCCAGAGTGAAAGCAATCTGCAAAATAGGAGAAAATAACTCGCAACCCTCCACCCTTACCTAATAAGGAATTTCTGTGTAGAATGTATAAATTAAAAAATTTAGCCCTATATCAAAAGCAAACAAAACCAAAGCTGGGCATGGTGACGTGCATCCCTGCACTCAGGAGACAGAGGCAGACAGACCTCTTCAAGATCAGCCTGGTCTACATAGCAAGTTCCAGGCTGGCCAGAGCTACATAGTGAGACCCTGCCATTGGAAAAAAAAAAAAACTCAGGCTGGTTGTGGTGGGAAAAACAACCAAAACACCCAACACTCACAGTCTAATTAAAAATAAACAGAGGTCTCAAAAAGACATTGCTCCACATAAGATAGACAAAAAGCCAATAAAACATAAAAAGATGGTCAGCATTGCTAACCATTAGGGAAATGTAAACCAGAACGGCACCCCTTCATATCTACAGCAGCTATCGGGGTTACCCAGCTCCTCGGCTCCCAGCACACACCTGCAGGTGTACAAGCACCTAACTGCTGGTCTAGAGACTCTGTTGCTCTCTTCCAACGTGAACACGGTGCACACATACACGAAGGAAAAATACTCACACGATAAAAAGAAAAAAAAAAGCAGAAAATAACAGACAATACTGATTTCCCATGTGAAAAAACGGAACCCATGTACTCTACTTGGGTGAGGAGGTGGGCAGCTATAAAACATAAAACAGTAGTAACCAGAACTACCATGTGACTTCACAATGCTATTTCTAGATATATTATATCCCAAAGATCTAAAAGCAGGGGGCTGGAGAGATGGCTCAGTGGTTAAAAGCACTTCCAGAGGACCTGGATTCAGTTCCATTCCCAGCACCCACTCAGGAAGTTCAGATCCAAAACTCTTCTGACCTCTGTACTTAAATGGTAAATACTCACACATACATACACACATAAATAAAAGTAAAGTTAAATAAAATCTAAAAATAGACAGTTGTACATCAACATTCATAGCACGCTAATATTCCCAATAGCTAAAAAGTTGACATAACCCAAATGTCTACATATGAATGCATATAGCCATAACAGAGTGTTAGTTGACCATTAAAATGAGAAATTTTATTCATTTGCTTTAGAGACAAGGTCTTACTAGGCAGTGCAGGCTAGCTTTGAACTAAGATCCTTCTGTCTCAGTTACCTAGGTCTGGGATTACCAGGATATGCCACCAAGTTCAGCAAAAAGAAGGAAATTCTGATAATGCTACATGAGGACATTATGCTAAATAAAGCAAATCAGAAACAGAAAATATTCCACCCAATCTAGATAAATCCTCTGGAAACAAGGTGCCTAGAGTAGTCAGATGAATAGAAACAGAAGAAAACAGTGTTTCCTGGGGCTGGGGGGTGGGGAGAACAGCAATAAAGGGACAGTCTGGTTTTCAAGATAAAATGTGGTTTCACCCTGTCCCTCAAAGCTTAGGGAGCACCCTGGCTAAAGGACTATTTGAGTCGGCGGTCAGCAGAACTGGAGTCCAGTTTTCACAGACAGTGGCCTCCTGGGGTACCATGAAAACAACAGGTCTCTAAAGGCACAGAACCCCACATTCCACTGTGTACAAGTGGGACTGAATTCCAGCCCACCCAGTTTTCTCTGTCAGGAGCAACACTGGCTACCACAGGAGCCCCAGAATCCAGCACTGAACAAGCTGATTTTCTCCAGACACTGGGGCGTGGAAGAGGGCAGGGCCACTCACTGAGCCCTGAGGGACTCTGTCCTGCCATTTGTATCTACTGCTCAATGTCTGGGAGCTCACTGCTGACCAAGGTGGGGGTTTTGAGGGCCCTCACCATGCAGCACCATACAGAAACTTCTGCAGCACATCTAGCGTATGGTGATCACAGGAAACCAGGACGGTGCCAGAGGGGACAAGGTAGGGCACGTGGAACATGCACATAGATGGATTGTTGGAAACGGGATGACTGGTGAATGAATATATCCTTGTAAGAAAAGCAATACCGTGGACAAGGGAATCTGGACAGAAAACGCTGTCTATGACATTTAGCTTACAAGAGTACATCCGTTTCTCCTCATCTGCTTTCTAAATACCACAGCAAGAAAATGCCATTTAGATCCAGGCCCCAGCTGACCCAGTCTTTGGGGTCTGCCCCACAGGGTGGAAGGTGTTAGATAAGCAGTTTGTTCTGAAAGAGAAGCAGGGACTGGCCTTTGTCTTTACCTGGAGCAGAGTTTCTGACCGCCAGATCTCATGGGACGCAGGGTCTGCATTCACAGATGTCTGATGAGAGATATGTCGCTTTAAGAGGCTAGTGTGGAGACCATAGGAAGCAAAAGGCATGGCTGGAGTCCTAACAGGAGACACAGAGACCATAGTAAGTTAGGAACCCCTGCTAACACCAAAATCAATGATTCCAACAGTCAATTACAACATACTGAATCACACAGTGCCACAAGGTCCACACTGATACACTTGACATCCTTACTATAACCTGTCCACTTAGCAAATGAGATGCTAAAAAAAAGGGATGAAATCAGAAAGTCACAACTTATGATATGCTCTATTAATAACTGTGTAATTGAGAATAGCAGATGCTAACATAAATGATAAGTTGACATTCTTCCCCGCCAAGTCCTTGATCCAGGTACAGAGCCCAGATCTGAATTTACAGTAGAAAAACCTGGTTAACATCCTTAAGCACAGACCAAGCACCTCTGACCACTAACGGAGCACAGGGACAGCAAAGATCGGACAGGACACTGGCAAGAACTTGGCATTACTACTGTGGTGCTCCTGCTTACTCAGCCCAAACTGGGCCTAGGCATGAGCAGATGCCGAGGAAGGGAGTACCTACACCCACCACCCTGCAAACACACCTAGGGACCTCTGCCACAGTCAGGAAGCAGGAGGAGAAAGGGACAAAGGGCCACAGAGATGACTTCTGTCCCGATTGGTTTTGTCAACTTGACACAGCTAGAGTCATCTGAGCAGAGGAAACTCAATTGAAGAAATGGCATCAGACTGTAAGCAAGTCTGTCGCGTATCTTCTTGTTTAACCGTTGATACAGGAAGACCCAGCCCAAGGAGGGCGTGGCAGGGCTACCCTGTGCCCGTGGGCCTGAGTGCATTAGAAGGCAGGCTGAGCAAGCCTCGAGGAGCAAGTCAGTCCACAGCGTTCCTCCATGGCCTCTGCTTTAGGGCTGGCCCTGACTTTCCTCAGTGACAGATGAAATAGAACTTTCCTCTCTACACTGCTTTGCTCACTGTCTGGATCCCAGCACTAGAAACCCAAGACAGCTGTGCACAGGGAGCAGCGGGCAAGGACCAGATTCCAGCCAGCAGACATGGGTGGGGTAGCTGGTGGTGAACACCGGACAGGTTCCCAAGATCTAATGGCGGCTTGGTAGCACACCAGCTTCCCAAGGCGGACAGACGCACTGTACTTAATCAATAGGACTGTGAGGCCTCTAGGAAATACAAAGGAATAAATAGCACACAGTCCAGAGAAGCCAGGCATATCTGTAACCCCAACACTCAGGAGGTGGAAACAAGAGGATCGTGAACTTGAAGGCAGCCTAGGTTACACAGTGTGAGAGACTGGACAGGACAACACAGAGAGCCATAGCGGTGTTAAAAATTTGGAAATCCAGGTTAAAAAGCTTATGAATGTTCTATCTGGCAACTTTTCTGTAAGTGTGACATTACTTCAAAATGAAAAGTTCAAGCAAGCCACAAACCAGGCCCAGGCAATCACTTAGCAGCCGAATTCCGCCGTGGAGAAGCCCTCCCTGCCAGCTACAGCACTATCAGGGTCAGGTCACCAGCCATCGCCACCTCAGCACCTCACCTCCCAGGTCTACCTCCATATTCTGAGGGCATCTGCCCACATGGTGAGTCTTAGAGGAAGGCACGCCTGGTATGCACATACCCAGCAGACATGGCGGGCCCAGAGCCCGCGTCAGTGCCTCCTAGAGCCTCCTAGAGCAGGCACTGGGTCAGGGAGGTCAGGGAGGGAGCAGAGAGGCTCAGACCACTCCGGCTAGGGCAGAAGGTTCCTCCAGAGGACCAAGAGGCTCTGGGCTAAGGGCCATCAGAACCGTAGAAAGCGCAGCTGGAGGGGCGGGGCCCCAACCCACTCCCCAACTTGTGCGGTCCAGCATCAGGCTTAGCTTGTGGCCGGCACAAAAGGCTTTTCAGGCCAGGCTCTCCCCTTTGACTGATTCAAACGATCATCTCTTTTGAATACAGGACAATCCTCCCCTCTGCTCTTTATTGCTTGGGTAGGACTCAGACCCCATCTGCAATGAGGGTTACTCCATGGTAAGGCCTTGTCGATGAGGCCAGAGACAAGCCTTAACCCCTGTCTTCGTTAGGGCAAGGGACGTTGAGAATTGGATCCCACAAAGGCTGACTGGGGAACCTTGGACACAGATACCAATACTTGACTGGGCAATGCCATTAGTGAGGCCACTCCCAGCAGAAGGACCAGGTCTGAATTGTCAGGACAGCCTTACCTGGGGGCTGGTGAGGGGCTGGAGCCCCCCGGACTGGAAGCAAGTGGTGGAGGCACACTGCCTTCAGTGGGCAGGAACCATGACAGGTATCTGTCCACCAGGATGAAATAGGCACAGTCTGAAGTGCGGACATGGAGGGACATAGGCATTGGCTAGAAAAGCAAAATTGCTATTATTAGTGCTGTGAGCAACCATGGCCGCCCTGGCCCCACTGTGGGATCTGCAGAAGCCCCAGTCAGAGGTGGCCCTTCTGTACCTTTTGAGAGATGAGGCTCAAAGCAAAGAAGAACATGTAGTATTCAAATGGGTCTGGTGGCAGTGTCAAGGGGCAAACGCGGAGGTGGGAGCCCACTTTCAACCCCCCACACCCGGGGCCACCAAAGGATACTGAGGGCCAGGTTCAGGCCAAGGCCTCCGGTGGGAGGACACTGGATCTTGTTGTGGTACAGAGGACTGTCAGGGAGGACATTCTCCTGGATGGACGCCTTCACAGGGCCCTGAAGAGAGAGGCAGGTTGGTGGGCAATCACCAGCTGCTGTTACAGCCTTCGGGGGAGCTGCTGAGACAGGACACCAACGCACAGATCCTGCTTTATGTACGACAGGGTCTGACCTGTCTGGGCTGGATTTAAATTTTTCCTCTAGTCCTCATACAGCTTCACACACACAAGGGTAAGAGCTGGGTGTTTTGAGTCCTACCTCCTTCTGCTTCTCATACCTCCTGAGTACCACACTGCAGCCTTCCCTGAGGTCTGGGGCTCCGAAGAACAGAGCCACGCAGTCACGTGAGCCTGCTGCTGCTCAGGCCGCAGTACAACAGTCTCCATCGGCAATGAGCTTTTGAAAATGCCACCGCTGGAACGTCTAAGCTGTGACACCTCTCCTGCCCCGGAAGGCTCCCTGCCCACTCCCAGCACAGCCACCTGTCCGGGCATCCCCAGTGGCGCTCACCGCCACGGCTTACTCACGGGAAGGCAGGAGACAGGAAAGTCAAAGCTATAGTCTTCAGCTTGAAGCTTATACACCAACTTCATCATGGGGCCACTGAACACGAAATTTAAAAAGGACAGGAGTCTGTCAGCATGAAAAAATACTCACTCAGCCCTTCTCAAGAAGGAAACCCACCTACCTTGGGTCTAGAAATTCCATTGCTATGCTGTACTCCACAGGGCTCACACGCCCCTGGAGGCATCGAAGATTCCAACCAACAAGGACACCATCCAGGCTGCCAAAGATGCTCTCCACCAGCCATGGGAAGATGGCATGCAATTCCTGAAACAGTACACAGTGAGGCAGCTGGCACGCTCACTGAGGACCAGTGCCCATCCCTGTCTCTGTTCCAGTTTGCACCATACACTACCTGCCTGAGGTCACTGAGACAGACCCACAAGCTCTGTTCAGCGGTGAAGAGCTGTGAATTCTTCCACTGGCCTCACGTAACACACCAGCCTTAGATTGGGGCCAATTAAGTCAGCCTTTGACTGAAATATGTTTAAGATTCATTTTTATTAGTTTAAAAACTATGTGTATGTGTATGTGGGTGTGTGCTTATGAGGACAGGTGTCTGGAGTCCAGACACTCATGTCAGATATCCTGGAGCTAGAGTTATAGACAGCTATCAGCTGCCTGACCTGGTGGCTGGAAACTGAACTTGGGGTTCTCTGAAAGAGCAGCAGGTGCTCTTAGCACTGAGCATCTCTACAGCCTCCCTCACCCCCTCCACCAATGTTTTCGTTTTGTTGAGACAGAGTCTAGCTACGTAGTAGGAGGGCCTTCAACTCATAGAAATCCTCCTGCCTCAGCCTTCCAATTGCTAAGACTACTGTCAGTGTCAGCCAAGTGAAGCATTCTTCAGGGGCTGGAGGTAATATAATGACAGAGCACTTGTTTATCATGTGAGGCCCTTCAATCAATCCCCAGTATCACAAAACACTAACAACAACAACACTCCAATGGGGACAGCGAAAGCTTAGTCAGTGAAACGTTTGTTGCACAAGCCTGAAGACCTGAGTTTGAATCCCAGCACTCATACAAAACAGAGGTGTAGTGGCACAGCTTATACTCCCAGTGCTGAGGAAGCAGAATCCCTGGGCTTGCTGGCCACCCACCCACCTAGCCTAAACAGCAAGATCCAGGTCCCAGTGAGTCCTGTCTCAAAAAACAAGGTGGACAACTGCTGAGGAACAACACCTGAGGTCACACACATGCACATGTACACCTGCACACATACACAAACACAGGTGTACCTCCACACACATGAACACCATTCCCCAAAAACCCTTCTGATCTTAACAGACATCTATTAAAAAGGAGAGATTTTTTTTTTTTTTGGTTTTGGTTTTGAGACAGGGCTTCTCTGTGTAGCTTTGGAGCCTGTCCTAGATCTCACTCTGTAGACCAGGCTGGCCTTGAACTCACAGAGATCCACCTGGCTTTGCCTCCCCAGTGCTGGGATTAAAGGCGTGAGCCACCGCCGCCCAGTTGAGAAATACTTTTTTTAAAAAATCAAATCACTGAAATATAACAGCAGTATTAATTTGTTGTCCAGGCCACTTTTTTGAGCTCAACAATTCTAAGTATGTATTTATATCAGAGTTTTCAATCTTAGTACTATGGATATTTGAGGCTAGATACTTTCTGAGACAAGGTCTCATGAAACCCATGGGCCTTGCTGTGTAGCCTGGCTTTGAACTCCTGATCCTTCTTCCCGTGCAGGGAGGACAGTATGCATCACTAAGCCAGGCTTTAGAATGGATACTTGGTTGTTGCAGGGAGCTGTCCTGTGTGTTGCAGGATGTGTCTAGCATTTCTGGCTTCAGTCCACCACAGACACATTAAGGGTTGTAGGAGCTACCCAAAGGGAGTTGCAGGTAAAGCTGTACCTTGGCTGGGAAATCCTCAATGACTTTCACCAAGTCTTGGCAACGCTGTGCAAAGGGCTTATTTATAGAGTCAGCTTTCAGGGTAGCCTAGAAGACAATGTGAAAGAACCGTAAACAGACTTGCCACACAGCGTCTGCAAATAGTCTGCTTAACCAGAAGGGAAATGCAAGCATTGGCGCCAGCGCTTCACTCATCAGGGGCTGCATCAAAGGCCCACAGCAAGCTTCTAGAAGACAGAAGCTATAATTCTACCACCTTTAGACCAAAAATTCTCAGGTGCTCCCTTAGGCATCCTATTACTTCAGAGTGCTGCATTATCAAAAGGAAACTGACTCCTACTGGCCTACAAGGAGGGACAGGATCCCTGTTGTATGGGGGACCCTTCCTCAGTTCATAGGTGTTGCGTTTATACACAGGAGATACAAACTTCCCACCTCCTCAACCATAATTGTATCACTGCGTTCATCAGTAAGAATGGCCAATAAACACAGAGAACAGAACATCCCCTCTGCCTCTCTCTCCCCCCCCCCCTTTCTTCCTCCTCTTTTTTTCTCTCCTTTCTCTCTTGGTTTTTTTCAAGACAAGGCTTCTTTGTGTAGCTCTGGCTGTCCTAGAACTCAATTCTGTAGACCAGGCTGTCCTTGAACTCAGAGATCTGCCTGACTCTGCCTCCCCAGTGCTGGGATTAAAGGCATGTGCCACCACCACCTGGCTCAGCTTTCTTTTATTAAGTTGGTATTGCCTAGCACTATCCTCTAAGCCAAACAACAGCCATCTTTGTAAGACCCATGATGGCTGCTTATGAAAGATCACGACAGCTGGGCTTGATTGCAGATATTCCTTCACAGAGGAGGGGTGAGAAGGGTCACTGGACCACACCGCCTTTAGTAAAAAAATAAGGCAGCGGCGGTAATGGTGCACACCTTTAATCCCAGCACTCGGGAGGCAGAGGCAGGCAGATCTCTGTGAGTTCGAGGTCAGCCTGAGCTACCAAGTGAGTTCCAGGAAAGGCTCAAAGCTACACAGAGAAACCCTGTCTCGAAAAACCAAAAAAAAAAAAAAAAGAAAGAAAGAAAGAAAGAGAGAGAGAGAGAGAGAGAGGCAATAATGTAATTGTATTATAAACTCAAAAAAATAAAAGAAAAATCACAAAAAAATAAGGTAATCTGAAACTACGGATGGCCTCTACCAATTCAGTACTCATCAAGACGGCAGATTAGCCAGTGAAACACACACTGAGGACAGAAAACATGGAGATCTGCTGAAGTCATGGGATGTGGGGATAACACATTGATTCCATGGAGAAATGGCCTCTGGGCAAACAGACAGAGATCAGGAGGTACTAGACTTTTAACAAACAGGCTTCGACCAAGGATATCTAATACCCTGACCATTGCCAAACAAGAAGGGACTGCATGGGGCCTGTCTCAGAGAGACAGAGCTGACTGTTAAGGCCATGGGCTAAGCCAGTTGGCTCCAGAGGATACACTAAGGAAGAATATTCCTTTTTTCCTTTCCTTTTCTTTTTTTTTTTTGAAACAGGGTTTCTCCATGTAATAGCCCTTGTTGTCCTGGAACTCACTCTGTAGATCAGGCTGGCCTCAAACTCACAGAAATCCGCCTGGCTCTGCCTCCTGGATGCTGGGATTAAAGGCATGCGCCACCACCGCCTAGCAGGAAGAATATTCTTTTTAAAAAAAGACAGGTACGGTGGCTCACACCTTTAATCCCAGCACTCCAGAGGCGAGGCAGGTGGATCTTGGAGTTTGAGGCCAGCCTGGTCTACACAATAAGTTCCAGGACAGCCAGGGCTACACAGAGAAACGCTGTCTTGGGGAGAAAAAAAAAAGTTTATGAAACGTATCTTCTGGGAACTGAAGTGAACAATCGTCACCACTCATATCTGCCTCACATTCTGCTTTCCCAGCTTCACAGTCTAATACTTAAGATAAACCCTAACAGGCAGCAGTGGCCCTCTACTTTTCACTGATAATAATTGTAATTACTAGAATGCTGTATATATAACAGAGTTTATACATCGTGACATTCTGATATTTATTCTTCTCACTCTGGAAATGAAGGAAAACAACATTTGAATCAACTCTTGTTTTGTTTTCAGATGACTTCTCGGGCTGACTGGGAATTCACTATGTAGCCCAGGCTGGCCTCAAACTCTATGCTCTTCTGGCCTCAGCCACCCCAGTACTGGCTGAATCAACTAACTTGGTGAATGAGAAAATGAGTTCAGAGATTGAATGCATGCAGCATCCTGCACTAAGAGAAGGCATAGTAAGTATTCTAACACTGATTTTGGTATTGTTTCCAATTAAAAAAACAAAAAACAAAAAACCAGTAGAGAGTTTTTCAAATCAGCTAAATATGGTGGCACATGCCCATTATAATCCCAGCAGTTGGGGAACTAAGGCAGAAAGAACTAGACTTCAAGAGGCCTGCACAGCCAGATGTGGTGGGCACACCTTTAATCCCAGCACTCATGAGGCAGAGGCAGTCAGAGCTCTGTGAACTCAAGGCCAATCTAGTCTACATGGTAAGTTCCCTAACAGTCAGAGCTACACAGAGAGACGCTGTCTCAAAAAAACAAAAAACAGAGGGCAGCAGGGCTCTACAGCAAGACTCTGTCCCCTAAAAATGAGTCCTTCAAATCAGCAGATGAAATCCTGCGTCCCTGGCTGCAGAGCCATCACGGCATCACTTCCAGGGCAGCTGACACTTACCAGGAGGAAGCTGGGCTGTTGCAGGTGAGGAAATGCCATAGCAGCCTTTGGGAAGTCAGAAACGGCCGCCTTAGGGAACCACTGTGGAAAGACAAAGACAGAATCTCCACATCTTCTACACAACCGATTATACAATTCCACAATGCCCAGGGGAGCAGGTGGATCAGGACAAATCACACCGCGTATTCCTTTGATTTCTAAAATGCAACACTCACACAGACCACAGCAGCCAGCTTCAGGGCTAGCTTTGTGGTGGCGACTGCTTGGTAATGCTTGTACAGCACTTGCTAGATGCCAGGATTGGCTTTAAGGGCTTTCCATTTATTTCCCTATCTAGTTACCAGTGACAGGCAGCATCCTTAACCATCCCCCAAGATTCTTCCTCCTTGGATATTCAAACACCCATCTAAGCACTGTTGTAAAGAGTTTAAAGAACAGAGTAAAGTACAATGTTGGTGGACTTTAACAAACAAAGCAGAGCTCAGCTAGAAAGTCAGAATCTCGAAGAAACTAGAACTGAGAGCTACTTGAAAAAGCTTGGAAGCAGATTCCTCCCTGCAGATTAAAGCAGATCTTGACTTGGCCCTTCTAATGCCCTAAGCAGACACTTCACTTAAGTCGGCCTGGACCTGGGACTATGTAACTAAGAGAAAGCAAATACAAAAGGTGCTAAATTAGGAATAATAGAAAGCACATCGTCACAATAACCCCACAAGGCTGACACAAATAAGGAAACAGGTAGAAAACAGCAAGATTTCTCAACACCAACCAAGATTCCGGTAAACTCCTTAAAATCTCTTATTTGAAAGAGAAGGGCAAAGCATATAACATGCTCTTTGCAACAAATGAAGACCAAGTTCTAGGAAGGAAGCCTTGAAATGGCCACCAAAAATCAGGAATAGCTCTGCAGCTTCCTACCTCTCTGTCTTCGTGGTCAGAAATACTAATCATAGTTAGAAAGAGCAGAGAGGTCATGGCGGTGATGGCGCACACCTTTAATCCCAGCACTCGGGAGGCAGAGGCAGGCGGATCTGTGAGTTCAAGGCCAGCCTGGTCTACAGAGCGAGATCCAGGACAGGCTCCAAACCTACACAGAGAAACCCTGTCTTGGAAAACTTAAAAAAAAAAAAAAAAAAAAGAAGAAGAAGAAAGAGGGAGGGAGGGAGGGAGGGAGGGAGGGAAAAAGAGAGAGCAGAGAGGAAACCTGCATTCCACTGACGGGCTAGTGATATCTTTCCTGGCACCGCTCTGCCCACTACAGGAGTAAAGGTATCAGCGCGGGAACTGGAGGTCTGTGAGCAGAGAAGTGAGCAGTAGGAGCGGAAAGCAGTTGCGGTTTTGAGAGGAGACCACCAATCTTTGCCAGTTTTTTCCAATTCTTAAACTAGTATCAGTTTCAGTGCTAAGGAAAACGTAAAATGCTTCAGTCCTGACCCACATTGCAAACGACTCCAAAATGATCAGGGCAGCATAAAATTGTGGATTATTTGATAAGGACAGAGCTCTAGAGGCGACAAGTAACTCTCACAGAAAGCAGGCAGCTGAAAGTGAGGGCCGGAGATGTCACACACACACACCACGAAGAGGGCAACCACCCTTGGCCTCTTGCTTTTAGACCCGGTCAGGCACGCCCCGTGCCAGTGTGCACGCAGTGCCAAAGGCATTCGCCTCACCCGACCCCTCATCACCCCCTTTCTTCAGGCGCTGCTTCCAGCTGTTTTTGAGGTTTCTAACCATTGCGAGTCAACGCTCTCGGGCCAAGCTTATCGCGCCACAGCCCAGACCTCCTTTGGCTGCGGCTTCCCGCATTTGTCGATCACAACTGTTCCATACCGCGAAGTTTCGAGACTCGGAAACCGAGGCTCGGAGAAACCAGAAGGTCGAATCCGGACCCATGCTGAGTTCTACGACCCACATCACTAGCTAAGCCCGAGGTTCACTTTTCACACCAGGTCCTCCCTCCCTCAGCGCCCGCACCGAGCGTCCACCGAGCCCCTACCGGGACCGGCCGTGCGGACCACGCAGGGTGGCGGCGGAAAGGCATGGCCCCGGCGGGAGGCGGGAGGGTGCAGCCGGGCCCTCCGCTCCCCGCCGGCCCCGCTCAGGGGCTGCCGGAAGGCCCGAGTCCCACGGCTCGAGGAGGAACGGAGCCGGCCTCGGAGGGGACTCGAGGAAACCGCACGGCTCTCGGGGCTTCCTCGCGCGCGGCTCCCGCCACTCACCTGCCGTGCCGATCGCACAAACCTCGAGCTTCCCAAAAGACAGAAGCCGCCATTCGGCCTCTCGGCGCCGAAATGTCGTCATCAAGCTGCGCCGGGCGCCACGCCCCCTTGGCGGGAGGTCTGAAATGTGAGGATCGCGCAGGGATTCCCTTCAAGAAAAGCAGGTTAGCCGGGTGGTGGTGCACGCCTTTAATCCCAGCACTCGGGAGGCAGGCGGATCTCTGTGAGTTCGAGGCCAGCCTGGGCTACAGAGTGAGTTCCAGGACAGGCACCAAAACTACACAGAGAAACCCTGTCTCGAAAAACAAAAAAAAAAAGGAAGAAAGAAAAGTAGATTAAAGGCAAGAATTTTGTATACAGGACTTCACCGGCACAGAAACAGCCCGAGAATTAAAAACGGGACTACATGACATTGAAAAGTTTCTACAAAGGAAGCTGAGTAGAGGGAACAGGCAGCCTAAAGAATGGGAGAAAATCTCTTCTAGCTGTACTTTGGGAGAGAGGGCGATATTAATATCTAGACTCTATAAAGAACTACGAAAAGTAAACACCCAAACTACCAATCAATAAATAGACAAATATGAGCAGACAGTTCCAACAAAGAAACACAGGGCTGCAGAGGTGGCGTCCAAAGGACCCGAACGCCCACATCGGTGCATGTAGTAAACGGGCGAGAATGCAGAACGCGAGCAGATGTCAAGAGAGGAAGAGGATGGTGGTACCAGAGGACACACGTGACATGAAAGAGGAAAGTACAAGCGGGGAGAGGAGTGAGGAGAGCAGGGAGGCGAATCAACAAAAAAAGCCATTTTAAAAAGTCTTCATACTTTATAAGCTATTTAAAAATTTAGAAAACCGTTGGTTAGAGCCCTTAAGGAGTGCTTCAAGGAGGGAACCTGCACAAAAGAGATAATTGCGTCATCCAACAGGCACTTACCAAGTACCCAGGATATGCCAGGCACGGTTCTGGGTGTTGCTGCCTAAGCGAGTGGTCTATCGGGGTCTGGTCTCCATACAGCGGACAGCTTTCCATCACACTGTCCCCATGCCTAACACACTGCCCTGTGCACACCAGGAGCTCAGCACAAGTCAAGCCATCAACTATGTGAAGATTGCTCCCGACCCCCCGCCCTCCTCGCTGGAGCTGCCTGGCCGGGACCTGCGGGGACCCTGCATGGAAACGGGCGGCCAGTAGGAGGCGCTGTGGAATCTCCAGGCCACGAGAATCCGGAGGGATGGAGAGATGGGGTAGTGAGGTATGAGTGTTTTGCCTGAGTGTATGTGTGTGCACCACGTGTGTGCCTGGTGACAGAAGGGCTGGAGTTACAGACAGATGAGTTGTGAGTTGACCTGTTGGTGCTGGGAATCAAACCTAGGTCTTCTGGAAGTGCTCTTAATCACTGAGCTGTCTCTCCAGCTTCCTCCCTCCCTCCCTTCCTCCCTCCTTCCATCCTTCCTTTCTTTTTTGACACAGGACCTAGAACTCAGGAGTCCCTGGCCTCTGCCTTCTGAGTGCTTGGACTGAAGGCATGCACCACCATACCCAACTAAGCCTTCCATTTCTCAGCTTTTATACAGTAGTCAGCACGCCCCTTCAATGGAGAAGCCTCCCAAATAGCAGATTTGGTGATGGGGTGGGGGTAGGGAAACCCCTGACTCTTTTCAATTAAACACACACACACACACACACACACACACACACACACACACACACACACACACGAGTCCAGAAACAGTGGCTACTTTCCCTTAAACAGAAGACACA